AAAAGGGATATGCTCCATTTTCTTATTTTTAGATAGGAAATGTAGTTCGTTTTCCATTCTATCCTATTTGATCATTGATATTCGAACATGGCTCTCTTTCCTTGTTCTAGTTCATGATCTAAACGAGTCGCACATACACCCTAGTACATGTTCCTCGACGCTGAGGGCATCCCCGAAGCGCGGGGGATTTTGTGACATTTCTAATTGGCTGTCTTGTATTTCTAATAAGTTGTTTAATCATTGGCATGTTGAATTCCTTTTATTGAATAGAATAGTAAATAAAAGTCATAATATATTAATATGAAACTCGGCAGGGGTAATTTCAAATCACGAATTAATGCGAAATCCAGGCCATGCTATTGTCATTCAACCGCTACAAGATCAACAATTTCATAAGTTTGGGCCTCTGTTGTTATATCTATCTTCAAGTGAAGACAAGCTCCGTTTATATAATATACAACTAGATAATAAACATCTAGATTTACACATGTTCAAATTAGAAAAAAAAAAAAAAAAAAAAAAAAAAAAAAAAAAAAAAAACCTTATATTTTTTAATTAATTCGATTGAAATAAAATTTGAGGTACAAATTACACTTCTTTCATATGAATTGAATTTGTTTCTTATGTTTGGTTGAATTTTATTCTAATGAATGAAATTTGTTTGTTACCAATATGGTTTATTCATCTTCACTTATGATAACAAAGTGTCACATGGAATTTGTGTAAAGGTTGCTAAATCTAATTTATGTAAAGGTTGCAAAATCTAAAGATGGCTCTATAAGACAAATATAGATCACTTAAAACATCCTGCCAATTCTAAAAAGTTTTTAAGAGTCTCCTTAGTCATTTGATCATGCAAAAGACAGTCAAAAGGGGTGAAAGGAAATAGAGACCATAGTTTGGTGCTATACTAGCTAATAAATGAAATGCTAAAAGTTGGATTATGAACATAGGTAATATTGGTAATGAAATTGTGAAGTACCATTAATTAGGAGTATAAACAAAAGTAGCCAAATTAAATAATACGAAATTACGAAAACATATCCTAACATATATAAAAGTTTATCTCTTGCATTTATAAATAACCACTGAAGAAATATCAAGCCATTTTATATATAAGCATAAGGGAAAGAAAAATATGATGTTTTCTTTTTTAGCATCATAAGGTATAGTTATATGGTCTTGGATGATAGTGAATTAGTCATGAGTACTTTTTATCTAAGCTAACCTGAAGTTTTATGCAAAGCCTTTTGTTGAATCATTCATCAATCCATAGGCACATGGGATTCTTAATTTATGAACTCAAAATGAAGGAAGAAGTGCTATATCATGATTATTCTTCCGGAATTCATTGCTAATTCATTGCTATGGTTTTTCTTAAGAGCGTAATCTTACCAATGATTATAAATTTATTGGTAAACCATAGGTAGTATTGTAATAAATTACCCACAGACATTCTTTATTTTCAATGGATATTTTCCATGGCTAAAATTCTGTTGCTAATACTTTTGTTTTCTAGTAGTGAGATTTTAACTATACCTTAGGACCAAATATTTTATAGGGAAAACATATATTAGAATTCAAACTAAGAAAACTACGATTATAAACTAAAGTATATAAATTATATTACCTTGGAGTGTTGCCATAGATTATCAAATTTCTCCAGTTTTGACATGTTAACCAGTGGAGATCTTGACGACATATGAACTTTTGCAACCATTGCTATTTCTTTTGATATGTCAGTTGCGCTTGGTCCACTTCCAATTACAACTACAATCTTTTTTCATTTACAAACCACATATTATATTGTAACATATGTGACACAAAATATGCAAATAAATAAAAATGACTGTTGATGTGAAAATGTATATCATACACATAATATGAAGTTAATACATCTGAAATTAAAAATAAAAAATAAAAACTAATCAGAAGGGCCTATTTAGTTAACATAAGCTAGCAAACACGGTTAAAAACGTTTAAAGTTTAATGGTTTATAAATGGAGTTTTGTTTACATGGAGTTTTGTGCTACTAACCTGGTTTATAAATGGTTCAGGAACACGATAGTTGTGGCTATGCATTTGTTTTTTAGACCATGTCTCGATACCTGCTCCAATGTTTACAATATTTCAAGTTAATTGGATATGAAATCGCTACAAATTATTTTTAATAAGGTTTCAACATTGTTGTGTGATTTTTGTGTGTTTTATATATTGCAAATTTTTTTATTTAAAAACAATACGGTTCTTGATCACTTTTATGTCTAAATTAAATAATATAGTTAGCTTTGGTAGTTAAATCTCTAGTAACTCTCAATATTTAGTCTAATTTATGAAAAAAATCTTAAACTAAATTTTATTTATAGAAAAACACAGAAAAACGGTTAAATTTCTAATAAACCCTTTTTGATCGGTTTCACAGAGTTAGCCGGAACTGATCCTTTTTTGTTAATTTTGTTAAAATATTAAGATTTTTTGTAAAAATTAACTTTTTTTAACTAATAACCAAAATATTATGACTTTTCTAAATATTAACCTTAAATTAATGTATATTATCTTTATATTATAAAATATATTTGTTATTAATTTCTAGAAATGTAAAAATGGACAGCATATTCTATCCTTTGCTTACCACTTCAAAATTTCTATCTTCCTCTTGTGCTTTCTTGTTTCACACCATGTGGGTGTTCCTTTTATATTCTTTAATCTAACTATCATCCAATCTCTCTCTCTCTCTCTCTCTCTCTATATATATATATATATATATATATATATATATATATATATATATATATATATATATATATATATCTTATCTAGTAACAATCATGGACTAACATACATCCATCGAGATTGGAAATTGAACTTAGAGTAACAATTTAAATACATAATCACTCTTAACTTGTTTCAAATTAAAATTTTATTCAATGTTTATTTTTCATTCTAAATGAATATGTGTTAGTGATGGTTATTACTTATATGTAAGGTATGAAGGTTGAATCCTAATTAGGTTAAAGAACATTAAAGAAACACCAATACAAGAGGAATACGATAGAGTGCATCTCATCATGACACACAAACGATGTATATAAGTAAAATAGCGGGTTTGAAGTAGTCAAGAAACAATAAAAGAATATTTAATTAGTCCACTGACAACTATATTTTCTTTTAGAAATGCCTTAATATTTTGGTTATTTGTTAAAAATAGGTAATTTTCAGAAAAATTTTAATATTTTGACGAAATTTATGAAAAAAAAATATAAGATACGGTTAAATCTAAAAACCTGTTGAAAAAGGGTTTTCTCTAAACTTTAGCCTTTATTGTGTATTTTTTTGTAAATAAAATTTATTTTGACACTTTTCCATAAACATGGCTAAAATATTGGTATTTTATGGAGATTTCTTTTCTTATTAATAATGTTTTTATTTAACATTTCAATTTTTAAAACAATGATTCACTAACACCATCTAGTAACAATAGATTAGTAATATGGTTTAATGACAATATATTAATGTGTCGATAGTTATATATCAATGATTTAGTACCACTAATGAGTATATGTTTTTACATAAAAACTGAATAATAGGTTTATGGTTGTTTTACCAGAACATTGTTAATATATAATATCTTTTACACAACAGTTATTGTTGCAAATGATTCGTTAATACTTTAGTAAAATTATTGAATGTGAGTTTTACATAATATATAAGTTTGTACCACTGAGATGACTTGCATGACCGAATATTTTTTGGAATGCATGAGCCATTAACAATAATGTAGTAACATGTTTCGGCTACGACAAACGACTGATACAGTAATATTATACAAAAATAATAATAAAATAAATAAATAAATAAACTCCAAATAATAGATTTTTTTAAGTAGACTGCACCAAATTTACACAAACAAATACTAAATTTACCAAAAAAAATACATTTGTTGTTGAACGAAAAACTAGCTCACAAACTATTATTGTTTTCAACAAACAACTTGCATTTGTTTTAATAAAAAACCTGACAGTGTTTTAAATTCTCCCTTTTATTAAAATAAATAAAACTAAAATATTTGAACTCAAAATTTTACATGTTATTTTAACAAATCATAAACGAATTGTGGTGAATCATAATTATAATTTACATACAGGTGAAGACTGAAATTAGGCATTGAGCGATTGTATTTATGCTTTTTTTAGTCACCAATTTTGTTTAATATTTAAATTGTCATTCAACTTGTTTTTTTAATTTAATTTGGCCCTTTTAACATGAGAAATTAGGTTTCCAACGTTTTTTTAATTATCTAATACCATTGAGCTTTTTAATAGCTTTCCTAAGGTCTAGTTCCCGCATTTTACCAAAGAAAAGAAAAATAGAGAAAGGAAAATAATGGGAGAAAAGAAGAGGAAAAAAAAATTGTGCTTTGTGTTCCTAAGAAGTAAAAGTAAAATTAAAAATTTTAATCTTTCTTTTGAAATCATTCCAAATCGGAAATGAGAAGGAAACTTAGATATAATAGTTTTTTCAAAACTTATTAATTAGCAAGTTTTTCTCTTCAAGCTTTTTCAATAATCCGATGGGTCATATGATTTTTTAATCAATAACAAATAAACAACGACGACAAAAAAATCAATTTAAAAAAAAATCAAAGGGGAAAATCTCTCGTATTTTCAAAGATACAAATACTTTTTTCATTTTAAGATTTTTAATGAAAAAGTCTTCTACCGGAGGTTCTAAGATCACTTAATTTTTTTTTAGCTACTCTTACTTTCTTTTTGGACAAAATTACAAAAATGGTTCCTATGGTTTTGTCAAAAGTTACAAAGTCAATCTCTGTTAATTTTTTTTGACGAACATGGTCCCTGTGGTTTCCAAAACTTGCATCAATGGCCCTTTTTGCTGACGCCGTTACTGTTCATCCGTTACTGTAGGGGTATTTTGGTCTTTTCAAGTAGCAGAGATTGGGTTTGTGACTATGGGTAAACCATAGGGACCATTTATGTATTTTTTTCTATATTTTATGTTTATGATTTTATGACTTTTCCATCCATTTACTTTTTAAAATATCACTTTGAACCCTTCACTTTAAACTTTGAAAAATGTTACTTTTATCCCTCTATTTTCTAAATTTTCGTGTTTAACCCCGTATTATATATAATTTGTTTTTTATTAATAGCTTTTGTTCGCTAATCTAAAAAAACTATTTTTACGTGTTTATTTTCATATATTTGTCAGTATAATTGAAGGTGATCAACGTTTCGATTATAATTTAGAACTTTCTTTCGTTATTTTTTTAAAGTTACATGGTTTTTTTTTTTTTTATAAAATTGTCGGTTTAAATTCGAGCTTATTTTTCAAAATAGTTTTTATTTTTATTTTTTATTTATTTTTTTTAAAAACTTTATGTACGTTTCCTACGTATAAGATGGGTCATATATAATAACTTTCGTTTGTTAATTTTAAAAAATATATTATATTAGTAGTTTTTTTTTTTTTTTTTTTAACTTTATGTACGTTTCCTACATATGAGACGGATCATATATAATAACTTTCATTTGTTAATTTTAAAAAATATATTATATTCGAGATTGTCTATGTTTTGATGTATTTTTTATACATTTTGTGCTTAATTTTATATACATTCCTACGTATCATTCGGTTCATATATAATAACTTTCGTTTGTTAGCTTAAAAAAAATGTAGTATATTTGAGTTTGTCTATGTTTTGACCTAACTTTTGTTTCAAGTTTTTTACGTATCAATATAGATTCGAGTTCGTCTATATTTCGACGTAATTTTTTTTTTTTTTTATGTTTCGTGCTTATTTTTATGTACGTATTTTTTTCATTCATGTTTTTTTATGTCGAAATGCAACTTTTATGACTATAATCACCAAAATTCAACTTATAAAATTCAAGCTGATAATTACGCTTTTATCTATTATATGTGAACAAACTTATACGTAGGAACATACATAAAATAAGCACCAAAACATACAAAAAAATTAAATCACAACATAAAAAATAAAGAAAAAGAAAAACTCAAATTTATATCAGCACGTGCATAAAAATAAATAAGATTTTTTTAAGTTAACGAATGAAAGTTTAAATAATAAAAAATATATAATATGTGACCCTAATCATAAGTATGAAACGTACAGAAAATAAAGCACGAAAACGTTAAAAAAATATGTTTCGCAAAACGTTTTGGTGCTTATTTTATGTATGTTTCTACGTATAAGTTTGTTCACATATAATAGATAAAAACGTAATTATAAACTTGAATTTTGTAAGTTGAATTTTGGTGATTATAGTCATAAAAGTTGCATTTAGACGTAAAAAAACATGAATGATAAAAACAAGTACATAAAAATAAGCACGAAACATAAAAAAAAATTACATCGAAATATAGATGAACTTGAATCTATATTGATACATAAAAAACACGAAACAAAAGTTAGGTCGAAACATAGACAAACTCGAATATACTACATTTTTTTTAAGTTAACAAACGAAAGTTATTATATATGATCCAAATGATACGTAGGAATGTAAATAAAATTAAGCACAAAATGTATACAAAATACATCAAAACATAGACAATCTCAAATATAATATATTTTTTAAAATTAACAAACGAAAGTTATTATATATGATCCGTCTCATATGTAGGAAATGTACATAAAGTTACAAAAAAAAAAAAAACTATGTCGAAAAATAAGCTCAATTTAAACCGACAATTTTATAAAAAAAACCATGTAACTTTAAAAAAAAATAATGAAAGAAAGTTCTAAATTATAGTCGAAACGTTAATAACCTTGAATTATACCAACAAATATATGAAAATAAACACGTAAAAATAGTTTTTTTAGGTTAGCGAACAAAAGTTATTAATAAAAAACAAATTATATATAATACGGGGTTAAACACGAAAATTTAGAAAATAGAAGGGTGAAAGTAATATTTTTTGAAGTTCAAAGTGAAGGGTTCAAAGTGATATTTTAAAAAGTAAATGGGTGGAAAGTCGCAAACTCATAAACATAAAATATAAAAAAATACATAAATGGTCCCTATGGTTTACCCAGAATCACAAATCCAGTCCCTGCTACTTGAAAAGACCAAAATACTCATACACTAACGGATGAACAGTAACGGCGTAAACAAAAAGGGCCATTGATGTAAGTTTTGGAAACTACAGGGACCATATTCATCAAAAAAAATTAGCAGGGACTGACTTTGTGATTTTTGGCAAAGGATAAGGACCATTTTTGTAATTTTCTCTTCTTTTTGGCTATTTAAAACCACTTCACATTTTTTTTAAACATTCAAGGTCCTTACGTGTTTTTTTACTACTTTCTATTTATTTCATTTATATATTTTTTCATAATCTGTTTTTAAAAGTTAAATTTTAATTTTGTTTTTACATGTTATTTCACTAACCGGTGTTGCAAGTAATAAAGAAATTGATCAATTGTACTATCTAAAGACCTATGTTAACCTATCTTAGAACCGACGTAGAAGGTCAATCGTGAAACTAATAATGTTTTGGTATACCAAGATTTGAACCCTATACATAGTAGAATTTCATTTTTCAACTACTAAGCTTCTAGAGTAAATTACACGAGTGGTCCCTATGGTTTGGGGTAATTTGCACGTTTGGTTCCTAATTTATATTTTTAACTCGGAAGGTTCCTACTGTTTGTTTTTATTACGTGTTTGGTCCCTACTGTTTGTTTTTGTTACGCGCTTGGTCTCTATCTTACCTAAAAATACTATTATTTAAATAGGAAAAAATGGTAGGGTAGGTAAGGTAAGGTGAAGGGGGTGGGGTTGGGAGTGGGTTTATCTAAATAAATTAAAAAAATCAAGGGCAAAATAGTCTTTTTAGCTAAGACAGGGACCAAACGCGTAACAAAAACAAACAGTAGGGACCTTCCGAGTTAAAAAAATAAATTAGGGATCAAACACACAAATTACCCTAAACCATAGGGACCATTCGTGTAATTTACTCAAGCTTCTATCATATTACTATTATTTCCTTAATAGAGTTAAAAACAAATTTGAACCTTAAATTAAATAAAACCAACAACCCAATGTGAACCAAATGTAGAAAATAGATGAAAGGACAAATTCTCATTATTCCAAACCATGATTGTTACAATCGTGATCCTGATTGTAGGAGCATACGATCCTACGATCCCACATACATAAATCGATCCCGATTTTACTTGGATCGTTTTCAGTAGGGTCCCGATATTATTGTATGATCAAATCGTAGGATTGATCGTAAAATCGTTAATTTATGTATTCTTTTTAAAATCAAAATTTTTTTGACTAAATACTTAGAATATCCTTTTTGAATTGTTTATCATTAAATAATATATTAAAAATATATTTTTTATGTTTTAAAGTATTTATTGTTAACTGGATGGTTAATTGAGATATATATATATATATATATATATATATATATATATATATATATATATATATATATATATATATATATATATATATATATATATATATATATATATTGTGTTTTAAAATGTTTTTGGTACGATCTTACGATCCGATTCAATCTTATGATTACGATCTTGCAAAGCAAAAAATGATCATCTTGATCTTAACAACCTTCCAAAGTGCAACACTATAATGATTTATTAATTAATAAAACAAATTTCTAAATAAATTTATGAAACATAAGCAAGCATGTCCGTAAACTAAACTATTGCATCTTCTATGTAGTAGTAAATAAAAGTCGTGAGTTTATTAATAAAAGCATTCGGAGTTTTATACATAAGTTTTTTATCAAACAAAAACCAATTAACTTCAATTTTATACGATCATTGAACATTTTGAAAAGTTATATTATAAAACTCCCTCATATAAAATTTCCATATTTTACACAAATGAAATGTTACACGAACGAAAAAAAAAAATAAATAAAAAAATAAATAAAAAACATTTAATTAAAATAATATATAACGGTATAGAAACCGACAATTAAACTAAATGAGTATTTAAAAAAAACCCGGTATCATAAAAACCCAAAACTAAAAACACAAATTTCTCCGGTACGAAAGATAATAAATTGTTACATACTTATACGAAATACTAAATATGTTATATTATAACTAAAAATTTAATATTTAACATCAAACATTAAAAAATATATTATTTAATATTTATAAAAATAATGGTAATAAATAAAAAACGATTTAAAGTATAACTATAAACTTAGGAATAAAATGCATTGGGTTAGTTGGTTGAATTAAATATCAAAAAAATTTAATTTATATTGAGTGTTTGAATTATTTGACAAAAATATGCATAGTTTCCAATACTAAAAACCTAGTTTTCATGTGGATTTTAAATATCCAACCTCTATATCGATTTCTAATTGGAGATGTTCTAAGTAGTACTACGTCTTATATATACCTGGAATATCTGTAGCCAATCGAGGTTCAAAGTTGTGACCATTACAGACAACAACTGCATCGAACTCCTCCACCTTATTCACCCCATTTGATGTGGATTTTAAATATCCAACCTCTATATCGATTTCTAATTGAAGATGCTCTAAGTAGTATTACATCTTATATATTTGTAGCCAATCGAGGTTCAAAGTTGTGACCATTACAGACAACAACTGCATCGAACTCCTTCACCTTATTCACCCCATTTGTTTTCTACTCAACCACAAACTTAGTGATCCCTGAGTCTATTACCTCGACTAGGGTTACCAACGTATTGAACCGAATCAACTTGATAAGCTCAAAATTATTTGCAAAATCTTCCAAGAATATTAGAACTTCATTGTGGCATGGAAACATTCTCGCATCTCGGTATATTTTCTCGCTAAATTTGAAATCCGTGAAACTCATGAGCTCACGAGGAAGATTCGTGCACAAAGAGTTGTAAAGAGATCCATGAACAATATCTCTATTTGGATCAAGTCCCAGAAGATCCGATTCCACTCGTCGATCATAGGCCCAATTTCCACCAAGTTGGTGCGACTTTTCAAACAACACAACTTGGTGGGATTCTCTTTGAAGCTCACGAGCAGCTATTAGTCCAGAGACACCAGCACCGATTACAGCCACCTTTAAGGAAGTTGCCATGGCAGGTATATAGCTCTATGTTCTTCAAGTAGAAACGTTTAAGAATTACTAGGCCATGTATATAAAGGCTTTATTGGCCAATTACCAAAGTAATTTGATTTCCAACATTGAGGGGTCTACAAAGTTGGACTAACATATTTTAGACAATCTTAAATCCTTATTATATGAAAACGAGTTGAAGGATTGGAAAAGTTAGTTTATTATATTTTAGTCTTTATTTTATTCTATTATGGATATGTATATTCGTTAACTTGTCACAAAACTCCAAATGCTTAGAAAACTATCTCATAAAACATACGATAATAGATGATCATATAAATCATTGTTTGCTGATGATGGCCCACTCAATCTCTGGACCATCGGATGTTAGAAAAACTAATTAATTGGAAGTATCTAGTGTCGAAGTAAATGACATATACTAAGTTCTTGATTAGCTTGTTTTATGAGTAGGAGATCATGATATATTTTTTAATATTATTTTTTTAGAAATGGTTATTGGTTAAACTTAGCCTTTTATTCATGTAAAAGTTATTCAAAGAAACAATTTTGACTTGGCCGACTCAAGTTAGAAGTAGAAGGTTTGCTAAGGCAAAGGGTTTGTAGAGCTTAACATAGACCTTGCCTAAACACTTCCTCACATTAGTTATCAAGAGCAGTTCCTCAACACGACACCTCATGAGCTGTTTGATAGTCTCTGACTGTAAGTTCAGAAGCACTTCGCAGATGTTTAGAAGAATCTACCAAGGAACTTTTACCAACATAAGATAAACTGGATTTATAAATCTTGGATTGAAACAAATACATATCTTTATATAGATAAAACAATTAAACAAAACAATCTCAATGATATATTCAAATAATAGATATTACATAATAAAGTTTATATTAAAAAGAGTAAATTACACGAATGATCCCTATGGTTTAGGGTAATTTGCACGTTTGGTTCCTAACTTATTTTTTTAATTCGGAAGGTCATTACTATCTGTTTTTGTTACGCACTTGGTCCCTATTGTTTGTTTTTGTTACACGTTTGATCCCTATCTTAGCTAAAAAGACTTTTATTTAAATAGGTAAAAATGGTGGGATAGGTAAGATAAGGTGAAGAATGTGAGATTGGGAGTGTGTTTATTTAAATAAATCAAAAAATCAAAAGCAAAATAATCTTTTTAGGTTAGTGAGGGACCAAGCGCGTAACAAAAGCAAAAAGCAAAGACCTTCCGAGTTAAAAAAATAAGTTAAGGACTAAACATGTAAATTACCGTAAACCATAGGGACTATTCGTATAATTTACTCTATTAAAAAATCAAACTAACCTTTAACCAAGTATAGTAGAAAATGTTTTTTAACTATATTACGTGTTATAATAGATAAACTTAATTATAAAACACTGAACCTGATTTGGGTAAAAAAAATCATCATCATCATACACATGGACCATAAACTATTTGAAAATAATTAGAATAAATCATCATTATCCACATCTAACCCTTTAAAATAAAGGGAGAAATCAAACGTAACTTTCATAATAATGTAAAAGTCCTTCTCGAGAACTTAACATATAAAAACCGATAAATACAACAAGATAAGTATAAGAAATGCAAGAAACATATAAAAACGTTTGAACATTTTACACAATTATTTATTATTATTGGTCAAGTGGGGTCCACTCAATTCGAAGATCCATTTCACCGGATTCGACATTTTGGAGTTTTAATTTAACCTCTTGTATGACTTTCCCATCGATAATATTGACAATGCTATCTTCCAAAAGTGCATTATCATGTGATTTTAGCCATTTTCCAATTTGCATATTTTCTAATATTCCCGCATCCCCAAATGCCATTGCGGATGTTATTAATGGCATAATATAAATCTCCGCTTCCCCCATTATATCATCCGCTGAAAATGTATCGTGATCAAACACTTGCTACATTCACAAACCATGAGGAATTAGTTTAAAGTTAAAAAGTTTTAATGTAAGAGAAAAATACCCAAAAAAAATGATGTAAATCACACGAATGGTCTCTATGGTTTGGGGTAATTTGTGCGTTTGACCCCTAACTTATTTCACGAATGGTCTTTTTAAGTAAGACAGGACCAAGCGCGTAACAAAAACAAACAGTAGGGACCTTCCGAGTTAAAAAAATAAGTTAGGGACCAAACGTAGAAATTACCCTCAAGACCATTCGTGAAATTAACTCAAAAAAAATGTACTTTTATTGTTTTATCGATTTAGCCACTTAATTGTAGTGTGGTGATTAAACCGTTACAATTTGGGCTAAAAGCAAGAAATATAAATGTACTTTCATTTGTTTGTTGGGTTAATCTCATAAAAGTCTTATATTTTGTGTTTTTTTCTATGGAAAATTGTCAGGAAAGTTACACTTTAGACCCAAGTTTTTTTTTTAACATAAAAGTCATGATTATTTCATTTTGACCCATATTAACAAAAAAATCTTTTTTTTTTCTTTTAACAGGAAATGACATATGATTGTGTTGGGAAATTGTCAGAAAAGTCCCAAAATCTTTGAAAAAGTTTCACTTTAGTCCCAAAAAAAATTTAAACATAAAAATCATGATTATTTCATTTTGGCTCAAATTAACAAAAAAGTCATGTTTTTTCTTTTAACAGGGAGTAAACTACACGAATGGTCCCTATGGTTTAGGGTAATTTGCGCATTTGGTTCCTAATTTATTTTTTTAACTCGGAAGGTCCTTATTGTTTGTTTTTGTCACGTGCTTGGTCCCTATCGTACATAAAAAGACTATTTTGCCATTGATTTTTTAATTTATTTAAATAAACACACCCCAACCCCACCCCTCTCACCTTACCTTACGTACCCTCATCATTTTTTCCTATTTAAATAATTGTCTTTTTAGGTAAGACAGGGACCAAGCGTGTAATAAAAACAAACAGTAGGGACCAAGCGAGTAACAAAAACAAACAGTAGGGACCTCCCAAGTTAAAAAAATAAGTCAGGGACCATTCGTGTAATTTACCCTTTAACAGGAAATGATATTATCGTGTAAAATCAAATAATCGGACTTTTCTGTTCAAAAAAAAAATTAGGACCAAAGTGAAACTTTTCTGAAAATATTGGGACTTTTCTGACAATTTCCCTATCGTGTTTTTACAAATAATTGGAGCTTTTACGTTCAAAAAAAAACTTGGGACTAAAGCGTAACTTTTTGGAAAATATTTAGACTTTCCTAACAATTTCCCTTTTTTTGGGATTAAACTTCAACTTTATTTAAACCATCGAACTTTTTAGTTTTACTCGAAAAACCCTCACATTTTACAATTTTTGGAAAAAAAAAAATGACTAAAAGGGCCAGATCGGGAGAAATAAAAAAATATAAGGTCTTTTTCAGGCGAAAAACAAATTTGAGGATTAATCCTGAAAAAACACAAAATATAAGGTCTGTTTTGAGAATAACCCTCTAATAATAGGGCAAATTGTGGGAAACAGAAACATACTTTGTCTTCTTTATGGATATACACAATATACTTTGAGTTTTATCATTAATGAAAAATGTTGATGTGGCCGATCAGAGAACATTTGATTCATTTGCCACATCAGCATTGTCAGATGCCACATCAGCAAAAATATGAAAAAAAAAAAAAAAGAATTAATTGTATAGTTACCAGTTTAACAGGCCCGTAATTCTGAGGAACAGAAAGCATAAGCTCCTCATTCCAAATTGGATTCAAGTTGCTATTCCTTACAGTTGTTTGTGCCTTCTATTTCCATTTCAAAAAAAAAAAAAAAAAGAAAAAAAAAAAAAAAGGCATCATGATTATTGTTAGAATCATTTCTAATAATATGATATGATTTGTTTAAGGGAAAAAGATTCCCCTTTATGTTTAAAAGTATCAAATAGAAAAGAAAAATTATATTCTATTTAGCCACTTAACTATTTATGTAGTGACTAAAACATTATACTTTTGTTTACTTTAAAAAAAAAATAAAAATAAAAAAAAAAAAAAAAAACTATTTTTTCAAGGTACTTTCATAATGTATTGATTTAGCTATTATGGACTATTATTGTTACAAATAGTTCTGTGACTAAATAGATAATAGAGTAAATTACATGAATGGTTCCTATGGTTTGGGGTAATCTGCACGTTTGGTCCCTAAATTGTATTTTTGTTGCGTGTTTGGTCTTTACCGGATCTAAAAAGACTAAACTGCCCTTCTTTATTCCTTTTGTAATCTGTTTATTCTTTATTTGTTACTTATCTTTTAAAAAAAAATGTGTATTTGGACACTTTTTATAACCAGGAAAAATGATTTTTGAATGGTCAAAAAATCTCAAAAAAAACCTTATATTGTATTTTTTTTGGATTAAACCTCAAATTTATTTTTTCCTAAAAAAGATCTTGTATTCTTTTGTTTTTTCCAAAAGCCCTCAACTTTGTATTTTTTTCCGAAAAAACCTTCAACCTTCTAAATGCTTCCAAATAAACCCTCAACTCTTTTAATTTTTCTCAAAAAAAAACCCTCACATTTTGCAATTTTTTTTTTTTTGGGAAAAAATGACTAAAAGGGCCAAATCGGGAAAAAAGAAAAAAATAATAAAAATAAAAAGGTTAAAAAAACACAAAATATAAGGTATTTTTTGAGTTTAACCCAAAAATGTATAATGATTTATTCACTACAAAAATATGTTAAGTGGTCAAGTCAATAGAATGGTGGAAATATATGCATCTTTGAATATTGTTTTTGTACAAATACTCTTTTGTATTAAAACACATACATGCACTAATAATCTTTTTATATCTATATTTTTTATTTGAGTAAATTACACGAATGGTCCTTATGGTTTAGGGAAATTTACACGTTTGGTCCCTAACTTATTTTTTTAACTCGGAAGGTCCCTACTGCTTGTTTTTGTTACGCGCTTGGTCCCTATCTCACCTAAAATGACTATTTTGCCCTTGATTTTTTTAAATTTATTTAAATAAACACACCCCCCAACTCCACCCCTCACCTTACCTTACCTACCCCACCATTTTTTCATATTTAAATAATTATCGTTTTAGGTAAGATAGGGACCAAACGCATAATAAAAACAAACATTAGGGACCAAGCGTGTAACAACAACAAACAGTAGGGACCTTCCGAGTTAAAAAAATAAGTTAGGGACCAAACGTGCAAATTGCCCCAAACCATAGGGACCATTCATGTAATTTACTCTTTTTATTTTTAATTTATGGTAGGGGTATAAATGGAAACTGACCTGTTGTCCTAAAGTAAGGACAACATATGGATCACTTGAAAGCATGTCACGAACAGCAAGGTTTTTTCCTCTTATCACTGTGATTTTCAAGACTCCAATGAATTCCACCATGCCTTTCTGTCATTATATTTTAATAATCATAAATATAGATAAAATAATGATTCAAAGGAAAATTTTCATAAATATATCATGACATGTATAATTTTTTAATAAACTTACATTACTTGGAACATTGTCCATAATCTTTCTTGATAAACTTGATTTTAGAGAGCTAGAATTACTTGATGAGATCCTTAAACTTGGTTTCAAGAAATCTTGAAGCTCATACTTTGACCTTCATGGAAAATGGTCAAAGATTGAGTTGACCAAAATAGACAGATACCCATAATAGAAACTCATTAAAAGATTAAAACCCACATAAGATTATAACAAATGATATAGTTTCTAGGTATTTTTAGAAGGGTTTTATGCAGAAAAGTCTCATTATTTTGGGAAAGTTTTTCGATAAAGTACTAAATCGTTTTATTTAGAAAAGTCTCGTTATTTTGTGAAAATCACATAATCTGTCATTTCCTATTAAAAAAAAAAAAAAAAAAGACTTTTTCGTTAATTTGTGCAAAATGTTAAATAACTGGGAGTTTTCTGTTAAAAAAACAGATTTAGGAGTTTATCGAAAATTTTTCCAAAATAATGGGACTTTTCTACATAAAACCCTTTTTAGAAAGAAAAAAAAAAATATTGAAATTTAATTTAAATCATGAATTTTTTATAGCATCCTAATTTCATTTCTTTATGTTGGTGGAGATTTAAGATCATAATGAAGACAATTATAAAATGGATTTAAGAAAAAAGATTCAAAGTACAATGTTCTTTAAAGTAAAATTCCTATAACAACAAAAAGGGTTAATCTCAAAAAAAAAACCTTATATTTTGTGTTTTTGTTTTTCCGGATTACACCTCAAATTTATTTTTTTCCCCTAAAAAAGATCTTGTATTTTTTTCATTTTTTCCGATCTGATCCTTTTAGTCATTTTTTTCCAAAAAAACTTGTAAAATGTGAGGCTTTTTTCAAGAAAAAACTAAAAAAGTTGAGGATTTATTTGGAATCATTTAGAAGGTTGAGGTCTTTTTCCAGAAAAAAATACAAAGTTGGGAGGCTTTTTCACAAAAAATGAAAAAATACAAAATCTTTTTCAGGCAAAAAAAATAAATAAAATTCAGGTTTAATCCGGAAAAAAACACAAAATATAACGTCTCTTATGAGATTAACCCTAACAAAAAAGATCGAAACCACAATGTTGTAACAAAAAAATAAAATAAAAAGCATGGTTATTATTTTTTTTTATAATCCCCAATTAAATAAAAGTATGTTGTTTTTTCATTAAAATCAGTTTGCTCATGCAGATTTCACAATCTACTTTTTCTTGATATTCAATCAGCACATAGTTGGGAAATCATGTTTCATGGAATGGTGAAGAGATGAACAAAAGGGCAAAATCGTCAACCTGATAAAATTTGAACGATGTTCTTGAGAAGCATCAGGTCTAGGTTTAGAAATTCCTTGAGGAATATATGCTTCATAGATTGAATTTGCAGATGCATTTCCTCCAACTTCAATCATGGCATCAATTTCAGCATCACTCCATGAATCTAATGTCACTGATAAAACCTGTCAAATTCATTCAGATTATTATTATCATTAAAATTTGTTTCAAGAATGTATTTATTTATTTATTTGGAGAGGGGTAACCTTGGAAATATGAACACCAAGACTTCTGTGAACACCACAACATTTTAAGCATATGAACACTCCGATATTAGCAGAACTGAAATTCAAGATGAAATATTTTCATATGATTATACATGAAAAAAAATGTAGAAAACTGTTTTTGTATAAAAAAGAAAAAAGAAGGGCTAAAATATAAATACAATCATAAATCAAGTTTCTGTTCACAAAATATATATAGAATCAATTTTGTGTGTTTTAAGGACACTTTAAAGTAAATGAACAGATATTAGATGAGAAAAAAAAAGAGAGTTACATAATTTATATGTATAAAGTAGATGACATGTAATCATTAACAAAGTAATAATAACATTGTGTTCTCTAATTTTCTTTTGGTGGGAAAGAAATAAAGGAAAAGGGAAAAGAAAGGAAACTAATTATTTTATTCATGTTCTACAGTTGGAAAGAAAGAGAAGAAAAGGTGACAGTTTTTAGTGTTCTTGAATTAAGGGAAAGGAAAGAAAAGTTTAAAGTTTTACCATTTTGTTTTTTACTGAGTAAATATTTGAAAATTAAAGTTCTTTTAATTCAAGATAAAAAAAAAAACTCACGCCCATTTAGGATCAGGTGCACCACAATCAGCACATGTTCGATTATCACGTTGCTGCAATAGATCTTTTAATCTTCTGTTACCTACATTATCATAAAGAGTTATATAATCTAATAAATCAGCCATTAAAACAACTGTTAATATTCAAGAAGCTAAATATACATGAATAGGACTCAAACTCTTAAGTCAATGGGACAAAAGTTGCAAAGTATTTACTTGAATACCCTTTTATTTTACATTCATAACACCTTCTAGGTATAACATTTGCACTTTTTTGGTGTAGGATTCCAATTTTCCCCAAAAGTTAGTAGTCGATATAACAGGGCGTAAAAGAGCAATCTACAAAAGATGCGAAATCTAGACATAGATAATGATTTTCTTCCAATTTTTGGGGGAATTGGAATTTCTTAGTTTATCATTTTATACTACAATTTTTGGACAATTCAACTAATAACAGGGCGTATAAAATCAAAAAGCTCAATCGAGTATACGAATCATACCAGAAGGTGTTTTCCCAAGTGCAGACGAATGGTGACTCATCCTTTTGCCTACAGACCACAATCAGTCAATCACCAAACAGAACTTTCAATTCTCTAACTATGCAGCTCTACACCACACCGAAATCCAGAAAAAGCTCAAAAGCAATATCAGATTTAATCAATCCACAACGGATTCTCAAAGTCGCGCCTTCTTTCTCCAAATCCAACTCGATCGAACTAGTTTGTAGTTGAAAATGAGCAGAACTTGAATCCTTCAAAGTCGGAAGAGTTTAGAGTTGCAATCACGGATATAGGCGAAAGTTAATTAAGATTTGACGAAGTATAATCAAATTGATGTGAACGAAATGGAGCAGAAATCGCGATGAAGGATCCAAAGGTTTGAACTTTTACCTGATGGGTATTGTCAATTTGAGCAGGTCTGTTAACGTTTGCGTTGGAATGGAAGGTAAGAGGGATGTGAGGAGAACGTGCTCCGTGACCAGTTGGGTCACGAAGGGGGCGGTGTAAATGGATGTGTTATTTAATGCTTTCATACATGAGACGCAACAACGATAATGAAGTCAAATATGTTCTTGTCAAAACCGAGTTTTTTTTTTAGGAAATATGTTTGTAACCTTCTTGTCTTTTACAATGAATCTATTTAAATATATAGGGATAATGACTTGAAAGGGTAACGAACTTTCGATTTTTGTCACATTTAGTCACTAAACTTTTTTTTTCGTTATCTATTTGCCATTGAACTATTGAAACTGTTCACATTTTACCCTTATGACCGGCTGTTGCCGGTCATAACGGTAAAATGTGAACAGTTTCAATAGTTCAATGACAAATAGATAACGAAAAAAAGTTTAGTGACTAAATGTGAACAAAATCGAAAGTTCGTTTCCCTCTAAAAGTTCAATGACTAAATATGAACAAACTTCCTCTTGTATTATGTTTTACCAAATTATTTATTTTTGTTAAATTGTAGCAACATTTGTTGATGAAGAAATCTATGAAATAAAAAAAACAAAAACAAAACCCGGAAAATATATTTAAAAAAAAAACAAAAAACAAAAAACCGAAATAAAAAACCAATGGTTTGACATTTTCCAAAATAAAAAAATCAAAATTTCCAAACTGATTTTGGTTTTACAAAAAAATGAATCATTCTCACTGATGTGAATTATGACCATTGGTTTGGCATGCGAAATTTGTGACATCCCATGAATATGTAGTTACAACATTGTCTGAACTCGTAATTCATAGTAAGGGGTTAGAGTATCATCGCATAAATACGTAGTTACAACATCACCTGAAATCGTAATTCATCACCTACAGGTTATGGGCCTGCTGGTGTTTCCACTGGGTTGTCTAGAATAGTCTGTAGTCGCCATCTATACTCTGGTAGATTACTACATCGCCACATTATTGGTTAAGGTTATGGTATCTCCTTTCATCCTACATCACATATTCATCATCATCTATTTACTTAATTATCATCACCTTTCTATCATCACCTATCTTTCATCATTTTATTTCATCACATTGCTGGTTAAGGTTATGCTTCCTAACTTCGAACCCCAAGGTTTACTCTACGAAAGCATCATATTCTCAGCTCTCTGGACCTAGAAGGGTCCAGATCTATCACACCATGCAAAAAGCTTAAGATAGCTCTTCCTCTCACTCTACACATTCAAGCTCGCTAGGGTTCTCACTTATGGGAAAGGTAGTCGCAATTGAAGGCCATAAGTGCCTTTAAATATGGCTCGGGCCCAAAGATTTAGGGTTTCTGCCAACAGCGCAGACTCGTTGAGTCGCCTCACCGACTCATCGAGTCCATTCATTAATTTGAGTCATCAGTCGCGACCTTACTCGACGAGTTGAGGCGTCAACTCGTCGAGTCTCTCTTCTTAACTCAAAAGAAAAATACTTAAATTATGATACGTGGAAATCCGGATGTTACATTTTTTTTATTTCATAGATTTCTTCATCAACAAATGTTGCTACAATTTAACAAAAATAAATAATTTGGTAAAACATAATACAAGAGGAAGTTTGTTCACATTTAGTCATTGAACTTTTTAGAGGGAAACGAACTTTCGATTTTGTTCATATTTAGTCACTAAACTTTTTTTCATTATCTATTTGCCATTGAACTATTGAAACTGTTCACATTTTACCCTTATGACCGGCAACAGCCGGTCATAAGGGTAAAATGTGAACAGTTTCAATAGTTCAATGGCAAATAGATAACGAAAAAAAGTTTAGTGATTAAATGTGACAAAAGTTGAAAGTTCGTTACCCTTTCAAGTCATTATCCCAAATATATATGATACTAATAATAATAATAAGAGGGAAAAAAACAAATATATTTGAATATCAATAAAAACATGTTTTAGAAAATAACTAATATTTTAGTTAAATTATTGCGATCGATATTATAAAGTTGATAGACGATCTGCAAAATCATCAAAACCAATGTGGTTTTGATGAAATTCGTAGAATGTTTATTTTATTTTTTGGAAATGATAATTGTGAAATAGTAGGTTTCAAAGATTAGACATATAAAAAGTGTTAATGACATAAAAAAAATTGTTTTGTGTTTACATTGGTCAATAATATTTGTTTTTTTGTATACATGTCATTATTGAACTTGTGTCGCATGTTAAAATAAAATATAAAATTGTCGATCGTTATAGGTAAAAAAACTTGTTACCTAAAACAAAATATGTTAGTCATTAACCCTTTTTTTTCTATATAATTTTTTTCATAGGCTGGTGTTTTTCCTTTTTGTTGTGGAAGCCATTAAAAAAAATAACATAATATGAAACCACTTATATTTAAAATTGTTATATTAACTTAATTTAATAGAAACTATGTATAACTAGATGAAATTAGATGCGCATTTGGTTCTGGGTTTCTTTTTTTTTTTTTTTTTTTTTTTTTTTTTTTTTTTTTTTGTTATTTGAAGGTGTATTAAATAAGAAATCATCCACAGTTCTTCAATGTCTTTAAATGTTGCAATCCTTCACTTGTCACTTGAGAAGTTGATTAGTTTAGCGACACCAATTGTCTCTGACCTGCAACAAAACACAACAATTAGACAATTAGCCTTATCTATCTTAAAATATTTCATAAATCCATTTTCATCTAACATTATCTGTTTTTTCATCTAACAATGGTATCATATGCAAACCCTTTCCAGTTCAACAAAAAGTAAAAGCTAATAAAACAAAAAGCTAATCTAATTTATAAATATAAAATAATAAGTTTATATTACAATATAGATAAATAAGTGGTTGATAAAAAGTATAATGAAAATGAAAACTTTTAAAATTCTTAAGTGTTAAAATAGTCAAAAGCATTGTTTTTTTTTTTAATGTATAACAATTCAGCCCTGATCACGAAATCATTATTGAAAAATAGAGAGTGAAACTGTAGAGAAAAACTGACAATCACATATGTTGGAAAGTGACTACCATGTAAAGCAAATTAGCCATGGTTTTTTATCCTACCCGGTTAATACCTGAATCAGTCCCGCATTCGTAAAACCAATCCGGCTAGATTGCAGGTCAACAAGGGTACAATTGGCATTACCTGATGTGTGAAGCAATTTGGACTAATATAGGTACTAACTTTCATCCAAATTTATCATAAGTTTTATGAAATTTGTTCACATCAATGTTTTTTCATTGCTTCCATGTCACAGAGTATACAAAGTTGCTTCAATGATGAAAAAACAAATTCAAATCATTAGCCACTACCCAAATAATAATAATAATAATAATAATTATAATAATAATAATAATAATAATAATAATAATCAAAACTATTTTCATTCAAAAGTAACCAAATTTAAACTTTGTTCAAGTGAGTACCTCAAACTAATTTTCTAAAGCATTAACCACCCAACTTACAATTTTATTCTAGTATTACGATATTTTGTATTTTTTGTTCCATGGTTATAAAACTTTTTTTTGTTGATGTGACAGATTTATTGAAACAGTTTCGTTATATAGTTTCAATAAATATGTCACATAAGCACTTTAATGTTTTCATCATTTTCATAATATCATAACAAAATTGAAATGTGGCTACTATTTTAACAACTTTTTTCCCATAAACTTGCCACACTCAAACAAACAAAAATAAAAAAAATTCATAACAATGAAACAAAATTGAATGTTCAGTAAGTTTATGATACGTATTTGAACAAATATAAAAGTTTGTTACTATTTACTAAAGTTTTTAAATTTTCAATTACCATAGAGTGACAGTAGCTGACATCAAATATGAGTTGTTGAAAGAAGAATCGACTCTTCTCATAATCAACATAATTAAATGTTTGCAAGAAAGAAAAACAACAAATGATTTCATATAAAATTAAAAAAAAAAAAAAGGAAAAAGAAAGAAAAGAACCTCGTCTTCATTAAACCTCCCTACAATGCATATTCGATCAAAAAGTTCCCCTTTAGAAGCATATTCTATCACAATTGCCAAATGGGTTAAAGTAAATGGTAAATTATCTTATTGTGAATTTTTTTTCTTTGTTCTTATAACCTAGGCTTTTAGGATAAGAAAACCCATCTATCATTCTTCGTGGCTTCCTTGACATTTCATCAGGTTTTGATTGGGTGAAAAATAGGTGTGTAAAGAACTCCTCAAAAGTTAATTTTTCCACTGTCCATCAAAGTAACCATAATTCTTGATTAATTGAAAATTAACCATGCTTCTAATTTCTTTTATCAGTCTAAATCATAAATACCTGGATTATATCGTAGTAATTTTTGACAGAGATCAATGCACTCGGGACTTAAGTCCTTTACATCTGGAGGAAATTGCAATTTTGTTGATTTCATGATATTTTGAAGCAACTGCATGAAAGGTGAAATGATTGTTAACTTAAACTATTATATAAAAAAAATATTATATCCTTGAAAGCAAAACACTTTATGGAAATATATAAATCTGAATTTACAAGTTGAAATAGAATGGTACCAACACTCCATAGATCAACATGTTTTTCCATTTCTATGTTGATTTAGGATATTGATTGAAACAGAAAGTAAACTAAAGGATACCCTGACATTTTACAGAATGTAGTACCTTTGCATCATACTTATGAAGTTACATTATTTCTGGTGACAGTTCACACAATTGTTCAGATGAAATGGAGATCAATTTCAAATCTTCCAACACATATTCTCAAGTCAGGTGTTCCTCTCTTAAGGACTCCTCATCGCTTAGGCCTGCATATACATACAACTGATGTTTAATCCCCAATTCCAAAGAAAAAAAATAAACAAAGCAACATAAACACACACAATACACAATACACATCACGATTCGATTCAATTTGATTCCTCCAAATGAAGTTAAAAACATAACAGAAATACAGGACAATAGAAAAACACATATACAGATTAATCTAAAAAATCAATGAATCGGACTTACTTTAAACCAGGAGTGATGAAGACCAGTCTCATCGAAGCCGATAACGTTTCTGATGGCAAGAAGATATCCGAGACCTTCATTTACCTCAACAATTTATCGTATATGGTGGGAAAAGAAAGAGCTGGAGAGGTTTCGATGAGGAAAATCAACTAATACAGGAAGGCGTGACAACCTACTTACCTCCATCAGAAGCCTTTCGCCATTCATGGCCTCTGACGATGCCGTAACTGACAAACGACAGCAACGATATAGCTATTGTCTTCATTCCCTATCTCTCGCTCTCTCGCTCTCTCTCTCTCTCTCTCTTTCCGATCTCACTCTGTCTCTGGGACTCTAAAACACAAATAGATTTTTGGGTGAAGAAGACGAATAGGGATTAGAGGGAGAAAGTTATAAGGAGACGGAGAATTGGTGCGAAGAAGAAGGATCGAAAGACGAATTAGAACGACACTCTGAGTAGAGGAAGAGAGATGTGGCGATGGGATCCAGAAGATGAAGAAAGAGTAAACAAGAAAGAAAAACAAACCGTATTGGAGGACAATGGCGACAATCGACTTTGAGGAAGATAAGATAAGCATCAGGCGGAGTAGAAGTTTCAGAGGCAAAATAAGAAAGGAGAAGGCTTAC